GGGCAAGAGAATACATGGAGCTGTCAACTCCTGTGATAAAAATGCCTTTTTCTAGAATACCTCCTGAAGTACATGCCTGAGGTTCTTTTACACTAAGTTTTTTTTAATAAGTAGAAGAAACTCTAGTCTAAAATAATAATAAAAAGCCTAGTATAGTAAATACATAAACATATAACATAGTCATTACCAAGTATTATGTATGACCAGCAGTGAGGTAGGTTTGTTCACACCAGCACCTCCATAAGCACACTGTTGACTGAAATGACATTATATGGCACATGACTGCACTATGTTTTCTCCTATACATACATACCTATGATAAAGTTTAATTTATAAACTAGGCACAGTAAGAAATAATAGTAAAATAGAACAATTATAATACGTTAATAAAAGTTAACTGTAATAAAATTATGGGAATGTGGTGTCTGTCTCACAAAGTATCTTAGTAATGTACTCGTCATGACCATGGGTAACTGCAGAAAAGGGGGATTACTGTAAATGAACTCTGAACTTGGGAAAGTCCATCAGCTAATACTATTCAAGAATATGATTTCATGTTTAGCCCCCTTCTAATGTGTTTGTGCAACCTTGCTATTATTCAAGCGTTTAACATTTTAATCAGAAAGACCAGTTTAGTAATGAACAATGAAAATCCCAGATAAGTGTCCTATAAACTCTTGTTTGGCTACATTAAAAAAAGTGCTAGCATAGTCTAATAAAAGCATCCAGAAGGATACACACTCACCTTGTAGCACTTAGGAAGCATCATCTTACCACTGAGGGTTAGGGTTTTAAAACAATGTGCCTTATAAATTCCAAACTATTTATGAGCTAGAGCAGGGGTTGGCAAACTATGGCCTGGGTATTTGTTTTTGTATATAAGTTGTACTGGGATGCAGCCATGCCCATCCGTTTATGTACTGCCTGTGGCAATGTTACGTCAGTGACCATATGGTTTGCAAAGGCACACCTTTGCAAAAAGGGTATGCCTAAGAAAAAGTGTGCCAACTTTTGAACTGAAGGACTTTTTAATACCACCTTTTAAGTACCCTTTTCATTCCAAAAACTTCTTGGTTAAGATTTTTTAGGGCAAACAAAGGGGAACCTTATTTCACTGAGATAATTATAATTCTAAATGACACATGATTATACAGGCTGCCTATTACTGCTTTGATAAAAACAGGCATTGGGCTTGGCCTCTCCACAGCCTGCTGTACTGGTCAGTTGCTACTTTTCTATTATGGGTGTCTGTTTCACACACTCACATCAGCTTCTTCACACTCTCATTCCTCTGCTGCTGCTACCTCTTCTAGGACGCTTCTTGAGGCTGCATTATCTGCCTCCTTTCCCTTGTTTCCTCTTGCTAGTTTTACCATGTTTCTCAGGTACTCTGGATTCAGTGAAAATACCAGAAGCTTTGATCATCTCATATTATTTACCTTATTTGGTTCCAGCTTATTTTTTAAAAACTTCAGTGTTAAGTATTTGTTTAGAGTTATCCACATACTAATTCATACGAACTTCTTGCTTATCATTCCCCTTCTTGCATCTCAGTCTTTCCTTTTGGGTTTAATTTGCTTCTTCCTGAAGTGCATCCAAGTTATCACTCCATTTGTTGTTTGGGGGTACTGGGCACCTCTGGGAGTGGCCTTGGATCAGCTCTTACCATTTGCAACAATACTCTCTTGCTCATATTTGGGAATTTCTTCTTTGGCCCTACCCTGCCTGTTTTCTGTCTTTCAAGGTTTCCTTATAATTTCTTGTTTGATGGATCCAATTCTTCTGGTCCAAAGTAGATACTGATCAACTCAGTTTAAAAACATCTTTTCTGTCATTGGGGGCAAAAAGGGAATACCACAGAATGTGCTCAGACCTAAACTTGGAAATGGAAGCCTCCCATCTGTTGATCTCTACATTTTTCTCATTTACCAGCTTGCCAATTAAAAATGAGGTCACAAGTCTTTTTACCTGCAGATATGTACATGCTCCATTTCTCATTAACTGTCCTGACAGTAATTCTGAAAGGCAATTTCAAGTAATAGTAAGAACACAGGCTGCTGAATCCTACATCTTGGAACAAATCTTGATTCCACTGCATTGTATTTGACTTTCAAGCAGTTAGACCACCCTGAGATAAATCGTTTCCTTGTCCATAAAAGAGAGATAATAATACCTAAGTATTTGGGTTTATAATTTATACATGATACAGCATATCATATAAAGTTTGATTTCAAATATTCTAGCAATCATGTTTGTTTTTCTGATTTCTCCCCCATTAGTTGTATACTGAGTTTCTAAATCCCTGTTTATTATTTTGCCTTTTTACCTATGCTAAGGATAAATCAACTGGATAATATATTGGAAATGTCAATGAATCTGGAAAGTTCTTAAACCAAGTCTTTTCAAGTGAAGTCATAATAATCCATAAGAATTCTACTTTTGATAAAAGGTAGAACAAACTAGACTTAATATAAACACTGATTATAACTTTTAAAAGATGCACTGGAACAGCTCTGTTTTAACAACTAAGAATTTTTGAAAGCGTACAATCAATTTTCAAAAAAAATCTGCCTAACAAAACTACAGGGTATCCATTAAAGAAGCTTATGCAATAATAAAATCAAAGTAATTAATTTTGAAAAATCAGAACTAAAATGTACTATGCTGATTTCAAAAAGGTAAGAAGAAAATCTCTTTCATATAATACAACAGCTCTACATGGTTACAAATGGTCTGCTACCAACATAGCTATCTCCAAATGTCACTTATTTGGCTAAAAAAAGTCAAGGTTCAGACACAAAAGAACAAAATGGGCATACGCAAAAGAAAAAACAAACCAGTTAAAAGTAAGACAACTCACAATCAATAATTTAGTAACACAGTACACACATAGAGAACCTTCTGGGATGACATCTTAGGGCCTAATGTACATGCAAATCAAGCCAACTTTTCAGGAACTCATTTAATGTTTTCAACTCTTTAACAATGGAAACTTACAACCACAAGGTCTCAATGACCTGAAGCCTCATGTTTTGGGAATAAGGAATACAGAACAATGGTTTGGGTTCTCTATAGCATAAAAATTATATCCTGTTTTGTTTTTCCTAGGAGGAGAGAGAGGTCTAACACAAAGAAAAATTGTTCTGATCTACAGTTTGAGATATGGTTAGAAGGAAAGAGTACATTGAGGGCACCTCATAGAGTAAATGACCAGGGACCTAAGCAAAAAATGATCCCATGGAGGTTTTTATTTTCAGAGAACAAAACCCTTGGCTGGGTGAAGAAAAGGTCAGGAAAAGAGAGGGAAAGAAGGGTAAGGAGGGAGTCCTCCATTTCTTTTGAGAGCTAGCAGATAGGCTGAAGCCATGGTAATAAAGCCAATGCTGAGGAAGAGACCTGAGACAGGCCAAAAATAAAAATAAAAAAATCAGATCATGGTCATGTATCTTAAATACAGGGTCAAGCTGTGCCTCAACTGTACAGTTATATAAATTAATAAGATCTCTTTACTGTTTAAGCCTGTCTGAGCTGGGTTCAGTTACTTGCAAGACAGAGTCCTAACTAATACAATGTTGAAATTATATAAATCTTTCATAAACAGCAAATCTGTTTTTGATACAGTAAGCAAAAATATTTCCCAGGGATGAAATTATCTAGCAGTTTTCAAGGGTACTTTGTAATCCTTTCACGGATCTTGGGGAGGGATGAAGAGTAAAGAGAAAGACAGTGACTGGAAATCTTTGTGAGCACACCCTATCACAGATGCTGGATCCACTAGTGGCAAAGAATAATATTTCCATTTATTTTGGCTTTTGGACAAATGCATCATTCGTATCAGTAAGGTATAAAAATTGCTCTTGATATATAACCCAAACCCAAACAACAACAAACATATTTAAAGAAATCCAGCAATTGTGGTTAACATGAAGCTATGCATAGAAAAACCCTAGTTCTCATTAGAGGACTCAAATTAACTGTGTTTAGAACCATGTCTTTACAAAGTTGTCAATAAAGTGTTGAGATAAATGTGCTATCTTCTTTCCCAATTTTCTTCATATCTTATTGAAGCTGACACTACAAAGCATAAAATCCTCTTCAGCCTTAGTTACAATAAAAGCTACTACTTATTGAGTACTTACTATGTATCAGGCACTGTGGCAAAATGCTTTATATACATCTACTCATTTAATTTCTGTTTTTCTCTTGCTTCTTTTAGCAGGGCTTAAGATCCCAAATGAAATATTATAAACAACACTTTCCAGAGTATGGTCATAAAATGACAAGCTGGAAGATGACTGCACTTTCTGACCACTTGCCCATTGACAAGGCTGGAATTAAATACTAGTGATAATACTGTAACTGGTAATATTTTCTGAAGATTTCTTGCTTTCCAACATCTGTAGGATCCATCTAATACACCTAGAATGGCTGCAACTAAATGGTTAATTTCTGAGTCTGGATTTTGAACTCCATCTAAGGGCTTATAATAGCAAAGACAAAAAAGGTAGGAAAACTCCGAATTTACCACTATCTTAAGCATATCAAGAAACCAGATAACTTGGAGAGTCCTTACTTATAGCAAACTACCTCTAAACCATTTTGCTTGGTATATATTCCAGAAAATGAAATGTATACATTTCAAACCAGTGCTACTCAAAGCGTGGTGTATCAACCTGGTGTCAGTCCACAAAGTGTTACTGTCCAAAATGACATTCTTCTATATCATCAAGTACAATGGTTATTTCAAGCTGATTTCTGTGTGTGTAAAATATTTTCTTGACAAAGGAGACTGATGATTTATATTCACCCAAGCTCCTTACCTACCACAAACTGCTAACAGTTTAGGGGCTATTCTGAGTAGCAAGCATTAGACCTCAATTTTGTATATTGCTTCCAGTTTTCTGTCCCAGCTGCCACACAAAATTCAAATAAATTAACAAGCAAATACTTGGCTTAAACACAGTAATAGAAAAAGCAATACAATTAGCAATTGACCTCACCTTTGACAGAAGCAATTTCACACAGGAAACATGACCCTCATAGACAGCAGACAGAAGAGGAGTAATATGATGTTTATCTGGAGCCTACGAAATAATAAACAGAGATAACCTTATCCGTTTTTCATTTCTTCCTACTTTCTAGTTTTAACTAGAAAACTCTTACTAGATTTACCTATTTGCCTTTCTACAAATAAATAAATAAATCCACAGAGTCAAGTGTCTAGTCTCTTAGAGCCACCAGAGACCCAGGCCCATGAGCAATGTCTTTCCTTAGGAGTCGGAGTAGTAGAGCATAGGGAGCAGGGCTTTGACCTCAGCTCAAATCTTGGCTCTGCCACTTACTGTGGTACTGTTATTTAGCCTCTCTAAGCCTTGATTCCCCACAACTGTAGAAATGCCAATGTGGTCCAGTAAGGGAAGACGGGGTAAAACACAGCCAATGACTAGGTAAAAAGGCCAGACAGCATGGCATCCCTTGAAATACAGAAGCTACAAAAGGCTAAAGTTGGAAGATGACTGCACTTTTCTGACCACTTGCCCATTGACCTTTGTCCAATAATCCAGTTCAGATTTAGCCTATGACTGCAGAGTCCTATGCTCTATTACATCATAGCCATTTGTTACCCACAGATAGTGCTAACTCCCCAAGCTTTAGAACTTGAAAAGCAACAGCCATGGGGGAAACATCCTAACCTTCAATTTTTGTCAGCTTTAAAAAGTCAGTTTTTTTGGCTTATTTTTAAAAATCCCACCTCTGTATTTCTAAGTTATAGGCAATTTGGCATAATTTCAGACTGTATTCTTATTTAAAATGAAGTTTCTACAAATAACTATTTTATAATCTATAGAAAACAATTACCTATAGCATATTAACAGAAATTTTTTTCAAGAATGATCATGTCCTCTACGTACATTAATATCTGCTCCTTTCAGCAGCAGAAATTCCAGGATTTCAAGCTGCCCACAATCTGCTGCATAATGAAGAGGCTTCCTTCCACCTTCTAGTGTCCGGTTGACATCTTCTCCCTTATAAGAAAAGCAAATGAAAACAATATTTATATGAATGGAAGACTGAAGAAGTGAAATGAGGCACCTGATATTTTTACTTTCTTAAAGCCGTGTTTCATGAAACAATTAACATTTCTTGCAAAATAAAATAACTAAAAACTTGAAATTCTGCACAAGAGTTAACATACAGTATGATGGAAATTCAAGCCACGATTAGTTAAGCTGAAATCAATATACAACAATGATAAATGTAATGAAATACATTACTGTCCTCCATTTCTAAGGAGTTCAATCAGCATAATGTCAATATGTGACCACAAAAGACTAGTGAGTTCAAGCACTGATGTTTTACACAGTTCATATTACATATATTTTAATTCTTCAAAGAAAGTATTCCCATTTTGATGTAGGCAGTCATCAATATCACAATGTAATTTCAGTATTAGGTATTAAGAATTTATTTCATTTAACATGCAGTAAAGTCCAATTGTGTTGCAGGCACTGTGCTAGACAGTAGGAAGACAGTGGTCAGCAAAATCAGACACGACTCCTGACTGTATGAAGCTTACCATCTGGGGTTGGGGGGCAGATACTAATAATCACATAATTAAACATATAATTTCAAAATACAAGTGCTATAAAAAAAGGACCTCGGGGCTTTCAGAAGAACATGACAATCCTGGTGATGAATGGAGGTATAGTGCCAGAAAAATGAACTTAAGTCTAAAAAAGTCATTTTCATTCACTGAAGATTAACAGAGACTAAAAATGATGACTACTTTCTCTATGGACCAGCTGCAACACATCTGGCACTGTGGTACACCCATTATTTCTAATCTTCAAACTACCCCAAGAAGAGAAAACCTCCATCTAATATATGAAAAGTCGAAAGCTGAAAGAGGTTAAATAACTTTTTGTGGTTCAGCTAGTAACAGAGATTTAAACCCATTCTCTTTCTGTACCAACATGCTGCTTCTATTTCAGTATTTGCCCCTTCCCTCTTAGGAGAGTTCAGATTTTACTGAGGAGCAAAACATTCTAAAGAGTTTATCCTCTCAGCCGGGTGTGGTGGCTCACACCTGTAATCTCAGCACTTTGGGAGGCCAAGACTGGTGCATCACTTGAGCCTAGGAGTTCAAGACCAGCATGGGAAACGTGGCAACACCCCATTTCTACTAAAAACATGAAATTAGCCAGGCGTGATGGCATGCTCTTGTGATCCATCTACTTGGGAGGTGAGGCAGGAGGATCACCTGAGCCCAGGAAGTTGAGGCTGCAGTGAGCCATGACCCTGCCACTACACTCCAGCCTTGGTTATAGGAGTGAGACCCTGGCTCAAACAAACAAAGTTTATTTTCTCAACAATTTTATTACTCACTTAGCATATTTTGGTCAACTCATCAAGCCATACCCTGAATCAAGATGTTCAGAGCCCTATCATTTTACAGCCACTATAAACCATTCTTTCAAACACACATACTCCAAACTCCCCCTCCCCTTTGTCACTTACCTTCCCATTAATTTAAATACTATAGGTCCTACAAACCTCAATCAAATTTAAGATTTACTCTATGAAATTTTCCATGATAGTAATAGTAAGCTCTCCTTCTCGTAAAACTCACAAGAATCAGTTAGTATTTAAATATATGGTACCCTTACAACTTTGTGTACGCCTTCTTTCCCAACAGAATGCAAATTCCTTGACAGTAGAAATTATATGTTTTCTTCTTTATATTTTCCTACAGTACGATGTGGGAGTTAAGAACAGGTTCTCCATCACCATTAGACCTTGGGCAAGTTACTTTCTATGTGCAGAGATGACAGTACCTACGGCTCATGGAGTTGTTAGGGTTAAACTACATGATTCATGTAAAGCACTTAAATATCATATTAGCTAATATAGAAATACAGTTAGCTATTATCTATAAGTATTATCTATGTACACAATAGGTATACTCAAATATGAATTCACTTATTTTTAAGCATTCTGAGAGAAGGGTGATATCAACTGTCTACCATAGTAATCAATGGTGTCAGTTAGGCACAAGGGAACTACATTATAGTGTTTCCAAATTCTAGCCCACATGTGTATTTCAAATATATATATTTTTGAAGGATCAAGAGTTTCATCAGAAAGCATTTTCCTATTCTGAAATATTAGATGATAAAACAATCTAAGACTACTTCAATAATTCAAAGCAATAATTTCTAATGGATTGTTTACTTAAGTCAGTATCTGATATATGCATTACAACAGGGCCTCCTATAAATCAGGATATAGAAGGAATGCATAATGTATATACATGTAATATGTATATATATAAGGTATATATAAGGATGTATAATGTGCCTAAAATCACTGGTGACCAGGTTAGCACTCCAACTCTACCACTCAGTTGTGGGACCAGAGACCAGGTACTTTCTAAATTTTAGTTTCCTTATCTGTAAATTGGGAATAGAAATACCTACACTTCACAGGGTTTCAGTGTTTCATTAGAAGAGATAACTCATGCAAAGTGTTTAGCATAGTGCCTGACACATTGTTTAATAAATGTTTAATGAAGGCTATTATATTTAATAAAGGTTAACTACTACTTTTGTAGATTCCTGGTACTGGCTTATACTAGATATAAAAGATTATTCAAAATAGGATTAAGGCAGGTTTCTGTATAATGAAATATGAATAATTAAAGACATTATTTATTGTAACATTCTTTATATTCAAAATCAAATTTAAATAGGAAGGGCAAACTGGCACACCACCTTAGTCTTTATTCACAACTACAAAAATGTTGTTGAGGCAAGGAATGCTTAACAATTCAGATAAAATTAGTTTTCCTCCCATTATTAACATTTCCTTTCTATTAATATTAGCTGGACAGGATTAACTGGACGAGACTTTAGAGTGAGACAAAGCAAATAAACAAGTGCAATAAATCATCAATAAGATCTTTGTCAAAGATACTTCCGTGAATCAAAAATGTTACATCCTCCAGGGTCAGGTGCAGTGGCTCACGCCTGTAAAGTGCTCACTTCCCAGCACTTTGGGAGGCCGAGGTGGGAGGATCACGAGGTCAGGAGATCGAGACCATCCTGGCTAACACGGTGAAACTCTGTCTCAACTAAAAAACACAAAAAATTAGCCAGGCATGGTAGCGGGCGCCTGTAGTCTCAGCTACTTGGGAGGCTGAGGCAGAAGAATGGCGTGAACCCGGGAGGCAGAGCCTGCAGTGAGCTGAGATTGCACCACTGCACTCCTGCCTGGGCGACAGAGCGAGACTCAGTCTCAAAAAATAAAAAATGTTATATCCTCCCTTGCACTTTTAATACGAGTGCAAAATGCCTATGAAATGGAGCTGTGAGTTTAAACTTTCTCCTTTATCCCTTCAGACATTTACATTACAATTCTTATTTTAGCAGACAAAAAGATGATGAGACTGAAAAGGCTTTGTGTGACTGACAGAAAAAAATCCTTGTCAGCAGGGCCTTAGCAAAGTGGTACTTATAGAGAAATTTACAGCACTAAATGCCTGTACTGGAAAAATAGAAAGATTTCAAATGAATAATCTTTGTATTTCCATCATAAGAAACTAGAAAAAAATTAAATCCAAAATAAGCAAGAGAAAAGAATAAAGATCAGGGTAAAAATCAAAGAAACAGAAAACAGAAAAATGAGAGGAATCAAAAGCTGATTCTTCAAGATCAATACAACTGATAAGCCTCTAGCAAACGTCATCAGGAAAAGGGCGAAGAGACAAAGTACCAATATCGGTCGACAGACAGACAGATTACCTCCCCACAAAGAGACCTTCAGACTCCAGATGGCACCACCGTAAATTCTACCAGACATTTAAGGGAAGAAGTAATACCAATTCTACCCACTCTTCCTGAAAATGGAAGAGATGGGATGTTATCTCAACTCATTCTATGAGTTCAGCATTACTTTGATTCTAAAACAAGACAAAGATGTTATAAGAAAATACTGTATGCCAATGTTCCTCATGAAAAGTGATGGAAAAATTTTAAAAAGTGATGGAAAAATTTTAGACAAAATTTTAGCAAATGTAATCCAACACTATGTAAAAAGGATGATATACCATGACCCAGTGGCGTTTATCCCAGGAATAAGGTTGATTTAATACTCGAAAAGTCAGTGAATATAATTTACCATTCTAACAAACAGAGAAAGTCATATGATTGATCATCTCAATGGATTAAAAAAAACCCCAATATGCATTTCTCATCAGAATTTAGCAAACTGGGATAAGGAGGAAACTTCCTTGGCCTACAAAAAACCTACATTTAAGATCATACTTAATCGGTGAAAGACTGAATGCTTTCCTCCTAAGATCAGGAACAAGACAACGATGTCTGTTCTTACAACTTCAGTGTTGCACTAGCAGTTCTAATCAGTACAACCAGGCATGAAAAGAAATAAAAGGCATCCATTTTGAAAAGAAAGAATTAAAGCTGTCTTTATCTGCAGATGCCATGGTTAGGGCGTGCTGAATGACAATTTCACCAGGTTTTCAGCAGTCTTGATGGGTGGCAGGTCCAACAGTAGTGATGAAATAGGAAAGGAAGATAGTGCTCTATATAGTTCCTTTCTTCCCTGCCTACAGCCTATACTCTAGGCCTTGGTGACATCAGCAGAGATAAAGTCATCTATTCTGTAATCTTCATTCTAACTTCATAAAACGTTACCGGCTACAGAGAAAAACAAAACCCTAATTTTCTTTCCCAAATTCTGGGGATAGAGAAGAGAGATACGCAATCCGAACACGTTCCTTAGCTCACATGGAAATGTTACATGTTTTCCTTTTCCTCTGGCTCTTCCACTTTCCACAGAGACTATTTTAAACCTCTTCTACTTATTATAGACCTTAGACTTTTCTGTATTCTCTTTCCCCTTCATTCTCAGCAGATAAGCCCATATCCTTCTTTATACAGAAGACTGCCTTCAGACATGATCTCCCTCATGAACTTCTACCACACCTTTTTGGAACTGACCCATCCTC